AGAATGGATGTCTTTAAGAAAGGTTTCTCCATTGCTAAAGAAGGTGTGGTGGCTGCTGCAGAGAAGACCAAGCAGGGAGTGACAGAGGCTGCAGAGAAGACCAAAGAAGGGGTAATGTATGTAGGTAAGAGAGAACTAGTTTTGATCTACTTTTAGCATGAAAAGCTGCATAGATTGTCTCTGAGGAAGTCTGGGAAAATGATATTGTGGCTGAAGCTTCGGAGTGATTAGGAGGATAGTCTGGATAAGATCCTGAGCTCTGCACAGTTGCTATGTAAACCTGGGGTACCACAGCCTCCCCGTGCCTCAGTTTCCCCAACTGTAAGTTAGACATAGAAACCACGACTTCAGGGAAGGCAGAATGATGTTAAGGAGCAGATGCCCAGGTGTAAGGTTTGTTTGACTGTTCAGTGATTGTTTGCAGAGTGAGTCAGGCACTCTCCAGGCAAACGAGCACTGCTGGTCTCTGCCTCACCTCCACACTGGGAGGGACTCACTGAGGAGGTCCCTGAGAGGAGCCAGCAGTGTTAGTGTGAGGGGATTGCAGGATGCATCTGTTTCCCCACAAACAAATGGGTTTGTCCTGAAATCCTTCTGTTCACCGACCTCTTTCGTTGCCCATGCACACATTAATCTTGCTTTACAAGAGACGCCCAAATTCCTTTTGCCCAGAGAATAGGATCTGGAAAGCAGCATGCCTGATGTCCTGCCTAGAGATCTCTTTCACAGTTAATGGGCTGAAACCTCCCCTTTCAAGGTCACCCTTGAAACCCACTATCTCCACTTATCTAGCACATGCAATTAAATGGCTGGATGGTCAGATTTTCCATATAATACAAACGAAAGAGTCTTAGGTTCCCAAGACTGATTATCTCACTGCTGATCACTGCATTTCACACAGCTCTTTACTTTTGCTAGATTGGGAGTGTTTCTTTTTGTAGGAAAGTTTACATGCAGGCTCTTCCTGCTATCCTACTGCAACATCTACAGCTATACTTAGCTACTATATTTAAAACTGCTCTATTGCCAATAGCTACAGATATGTATTTGTACATTACAAATTAAATACAAAATTTGTGTGTAGCAGGCCTTGTAATGTTTTTATTTCGAATTTTTAAATACTTAATTATTGATATGCTGGAAATGAATGGATGTAACAGTTCACATTTCCATTTGAAGCTGACCCACAAGAAAAAAAAGGTAAGCAGCGTTCCTGTAAACAACTAAACCAACTACAGTAAGTGAAACACCAGCCTAAGAAATGTCACATGTGGGTGTCACATTGTGGCATCATTACTGGTCCACCTGCTTCCAGATCTGAGTTGGGTTGAGGTTATTTAGAGTTTTTATACATAATTTCTCACATCTCTTTTCAGTCACGTTGTACAGCTCCACACTGTGACCTGGTTTTCATGGTTGAGCCGAGAGGTCTCTTTAAGAGATTCTAACCTTTTCAATAAAGTTTTCTGTGAGCCTAAAACTCAAATAAGGATCAAGATGAGGATTAAGTGCTTTCTCCTTTTATTGGTTTGCTTTGCTGGTATACTGCTGGTTCCTCCCCTGTCATGCACTGGTCAGAGCTTTGCCTTGGACTGATTCAGATCCTGTTGGGAAGCTCAGCCCTTTAGGGGAGAATTCAGTCTTTCACAGGCAGGAAAAGTAAAGACCAGATGCTGATTAGGTTAGCTCAGAAAATGAGTGTTTTAATAGTCAGAGAAGGTGGAGGTTAAAACTGGAATGATTAGTATGTTGTTCATGCTGCCTTTTGTCACTCTGTGCCATATGAACAGTAAATCAGAGACCTGAACTGTTCCTTCCTTCCTTCTTCCCTTGCAGAGCCCTATCCCAGCAGCTTCATCTAGAGCATTAGGTGATAAGACTTGAATTTCTTGGATGCTAGGAGAGAATTATACTGTATTGAACCTCAAGTGTCTTTTGAGAACATCAGGAAAGAGAGCAAAATCCCCAGGGCCTAGGATGGATGAAGTGGATCCCTGACTTGTATTCAGGTTTGTGTTAACTCATTGCTGCCTCTCAGAGAAGGATTCCAAATGTCTGGGCACAACCGCCCTGTCTGGTGAATCACTTGCTGCTGCCCAGAGGAAAACAATGCTCACTCAGAGGCATCTGTCTGGAGCGAACAGCATCACTGGGACACTGTGGCCACCTCGTTCCCCCTCTGATCCATACAGGGTCAGCTCCCACAGCCCATGCCAGCCAGGAGATGCCTCCCTCCTGTGCTAAGCCTGCAATGCAGTGCCCCTGCCCTGCCACCGGCCTCGCTGATCCAGTGGGGTAGAGAAGAGAGTGCACGAAAGGAGAGGGAGGAGTCCTGTATCATGGGTCACCTCTGTGCTTGGTGAAATCACCATCTGCTCCCCAAATTCTAGCAGCCTCTGAGTGTGCCAGAGTGTCAGGAGGTCCCTGCATGGGTAGTGTGGATCCAGCAGATGGTTCAGTGGGCTCTCTTTATTAATTTGATTTGAATAGGGGTGTTAGCTGAAGTTAATTAATGAATTTATTGCAAAGCCACATCAGAATATTGAATCATTAGTACTGTTTAATGCTGTAGTTCAGGAAGCCTCAACAAAGAATGCACTTCTAGTTTTCCAGAATGATTTTCGACCTTGTGTGTTGCAGAAAGCCCCAACACACCAAGCTATGTTTAAACTGAGTGATTCCTGTAGGATTTAAAGCACATCAAAACATCCTCTCTACTCTAGACCTTCTCCCAGGGCACAGCACTCCACCACCTCGGTCCCACCCTGGCGGTCCCAAAGCACTTGCGGATGACTCAGAAAAGGCAGGATGCATGAACTTTTAATTCTGGGTACACAAGCTGCAGGCAAGGACTAATGAGTGAAATGAGATTGAGCATCAGGTGATTGCTTTCTGATTCAACAGATGCGGGCTGCTGGCAGGAGTGTGCGCCGGAAGGTCGGGTTTCATGCGGTGCATAATGGATGGAGCCTGAGTCATCGGGTGTGGCTGCGCTGGGAGGATGAGGCGAGCTCTCCCCAGGCTGCAGCAGTGACTCTTCCCAATGACATTGCTTCTCTCATGAAATGGATTTGGATGTTTTCCTCCTATCTGCATCCCTCCTTTCTGGAATTATTTTCCACCCGCAAATATAGCACCTGCTCACTCCTCTTCCCCGTAAAATAACTGAGCACAGATAGTCAGTTTAAAAGTCTGGCAAAAAATATACAAAACTGCAGCTCTTGTGTCACTAAGTGTGTTTACTGCAAAACTGCAAAGGCATGAAAGGCTGGTACAGCAAATTATGTACTTTTGCTTACCTATCAACTACTGTTTGACCAAAAAGCAGCAAAGGGCTAAGCTTGAGGATCTGAGTCTGATATGAGACAACCTTGTATGTCAAATCAACATTGTGGCAGCCTTTTCTTGGAATGATACTGGGAGGGAAAATGAAGCAGGATGGTGTCTGAACTGAACCTTGTGTGTTTGGCCCATTCAGGGGCTACATTTGTGGCTTGAGACCTGCTCTGCTCAGTGCTGTGCTTCTGCACATGTTTGTGTGTCATGGGCACCATTATTAAATCCAGTTCACAGCAGTGCACATGTATCATGTGCATCACTAGGAACTGTAGCTTACAGCAGTAACAAGTTAAAGGTACACAGATTTCATTTCTTGACCTTTAAGACAGTTTGGCAGGGTGGAGTGAAATGTTGAGGGCATATTGTAGTAGAATGGTTTTGTTCTGCTCCAGGCAAACACTGCAACCACCAAAATAAATCAACAATTGAGAATTACATTCAATAATACATAAACAGAACTGAGCTGGGCTGTTGTTATCAGGGCACTGCACCTGTTTTGCTTCTCAGACTGTTAATGAGAATGAGCTGTGGCTTGTGACTAGTTTCTCCCACCACACCCATGGATGCTCCACTATCATGGAATCAAAAATCTGCCTGGTTGTTGTCCATTTTTATCATTTTGATAGTTGGCCATAGAAATCCTTTTGTTGTATCAGTATGAGAAACCTGAAGAGAACCTGTATAGGTGCAGATGATTTGCAATATAAAGTGGGACCAGTGGAATATTTTTTCTTGTGTTTATTTAACTTCCAAAAGAAATAAATTTGATCCTTTATTTTTTCAATGTGTAAAGCACCTAGTTACCATGGGGGCTGCCCATCTACCGTATGATTTAACTTATCTGCAGCAGTATCAAGTACAAAGGATATATGGCTTGTCACTTGAAGCATGGAGGAAAATCACAGAGATTAATTATTCCTCAGGGCTATTTGTGTTGCAAGCTGAATGCCTTCACATCCTGTTAGCTTTTCTGCATTGAGAACAGCAAGATAAATTACAATGTAGGCATAAATGTGGTGTATTTTCATGATTTGAGATAAAACCATCTGCTTTCTATGCATTGCTCTGAGCAGGCACTTACAGCCTAGGCTGAGGCACCAAACTGTAAGTGAATCTAGTAAGTAGGTATGTAGGAGGTAGGTGGTGGTTCTGTGAATTCAGTCTCAGGTTTCTCCAGAGTTTTTATTAGTGGTATAGAATTAGACTTTAAATGACCACTGCAGCCAAGTATCCTGCTGCAAGGCAGGGGAAAGTCATGGATGTGACTTCTTGTCTTGTGAGAGTGAGGTAGGTGAGATGTTACCAGGTGATTTTATTTACAGTCATTTTACAACTAGCTTAAAGTTGATTTACCACCACTCAACTGCTCATTTTGGAAATATTGCAGGGACAATTTTTTATAATCAATATTTTTCAGGTCTAAGCATCTCCAGAGAATTTGCTGTTGAAGCTCTCCAACTCTCAACACAAAGATACTCATTGGCTTTACTGGGGAGGGAAGCTGCTCTCTTTTCTGACTCTACAATGGTTTGTGTCTGAGCAGGAGGTACCAGCAGCACCTTGGCTCCCCACTGCACTTCCTGAGAGCAGGAAACCATCTGTGTCCAGAAATCAGGGTGTAATTTCCAAGCAGCACTGATGGACTGTGTTTCCTTTCACAGGCACCAAGACCAAGGAGGGCGTAGTGCAAAGTGTGACCTCAGGTAAGAGGACAGCCCGAGAGGGATGTGGAAATCTGTGGTGATTGTTTGACCTCTTGGGAAGGCCATCACCCCTGCCAAGTGGGAGGTCTCTGTGGGACACCATTGATCTGCCTGACCTTCCCACTGATGAGTAGAGGCTGCTTGCCAGGAGCGATGGTTCAGGGTCTGGCATTTGCAGTGGACATGGGGGGGAGAAAATATTTAATCAGTAGAGTAGGTCAGAAAATTCTAACACAGGTTACTTGGCAGACTGGGATGATTCACAGCTATTTAGACATTTCACAATGTCAGGTGCACAGCCCAGCACACAGAGGGGATTTACTTGCATCAGATCCTGTCTGGCCAAAACTGTGGTCTTTGGGAGAGTCCTGTCAGGCAGTTGCAGAGTCAGGGACCTAAAGGTCCCTTCTAGGGTATCCCCAGCTCCAAGGAGGAGCAGCCATATGGACTGTCCTGAAGGAAGATTAATGGATCCTTTCCCTGGAGAATTTCATAACTATTGCTGTTTTCTGCCAAGGGGTATTAAATCAAACAGAAAGTAACCTGGAAGAGGTCATGCACAGTCTGCAATGCAAAATACCTTATTTACACTGTTGTCTCTCAGTATCTGACAGTGAATTTTTCATTCTCTGGCTGCCTACAAACACTGACAGGCTGCAGTGCTGCTCTCTAAGCAGCATTTTGTGCCAGATAAAAATCCTCACATATATGATCTAAATTCAGACGTGATCTCATCTAAAAAATCCAAACAAGGACTGCACCAGGGCTACTTTCTTCTTTTACATCAATGCAATCATTTGTCTTCCCGGGGAATTTGGCAGCCTTCTGGCAGTGTCTAGTTTGCTGACTTTTCTGCTTTTGTTGAAAATGCAGTTGCTGAGAAGACCAAAGAGCAGGCCAACGTGGTGGGAGAAGCTGTAGTAGCCAGCGTGAACACAGTGGCAAACAAGACTGTAGAAGGAGCAGAGACCATCGTGGCCACTACAGGAGTTGTAAAAAAGGTGTGTTTGTTTGTTCTATGATGGGCAGGACAGAAGAGCCTTTGGATTAACCTGCAAACATTTACAGTTTATGGCTTTACTTATTTCATGAAAGGTTTTCAACAATACCTGCTTTTGTATAATGCTTAATATTATCATATAATGCCTAATATAGTCACAGAATAATTTAGTTTGAAAGGGACACCCTGAGATCATCCAGTCCAACTCCCTTAGGGCCAGTGAGAGAGGACTGTCCCAGTGGGTTTTGACTATCTCCATGGAAGTAGACTCCACAATATCCCTGGGCAACCTGTGCCAGTGTTTGACCACCCTCACAGGAAAAAGAGAATTGTTTTCTTCTGTTCAGATGGTCTCATTAATCACTTGGTGCCTATTGTCTCTTGTCCCAGCAGTGGGCACTGCTGGCAACAGTCTGGCTCTCCATTTTCTTACGAATGTAGAAAAGCATTTTTCCCAGGGACTTGAGTAGAGATGTGTGTGGGCTGCAGTGAGCAACTGGGCTGAGTCAGAGCTCAGGGATGTGCAGAGTGGGAAGGCACGGGAGCCTGCACTTGCCCTCACCCCTGTGCCGTGCTGGCAGGATGCACAGGCTTGCCCTGGCCACGGCAGCTCCGGAGCAGAAGAGGGCAGCAACAAGCCAGGCACAGCCTGGTTCCAGCAGAAAGCCTGACCCTGCTGCTCTGCTTCGTGCTGGTTTGACAACAACCAAGTGCTTATTGATAAAAGACCGTGTGACCCAAATTGTGTACGGATTAAGCCAGATTCAGACAAGGCATCTTCTGTCCTCCAGCCTAATTTGACCAACAGGGCTGCTTCAAGGGGATTAAGGGGCATCTGAAGGAGCAGAACTGTTCCTTAGATGAAGGCAGTGTTGATCATTAGAGAAGATGCTTTGGTAACAAACAGCACTAATTTGTGCAGCAGACGCCAATACTTGGCAGCTCTTTGGTAAGCCCTTCTCTTTCCCCTCTTTCAGAGAGTGTGATTGGTGTTGTTGATGGCCATATGAGCTTTATGAGTCACAGCAAACCCAAACCCAGAATCAAAGCAAAGCCAGCCTGGCCAAAATCGTTTTAATTGTTCAGATAGTCGGCTGATTAATTTCCTGACCTGCACATAAACACATTGTGATGTGAAACAAAACTTCTACACAGCATATAAATCCTGAGAGAATAGCCTAACAAAAGTGGAGAACAGCAGCTACAAGTGACGCAAAATGTCCTCCTGAAAGCATGTGAAAAGAGCAGATACAGGAGTCCTGCTAAACCCTTGGGATAAGTTTAACCTCTATTCCCACAGAGAACAGCAGTTAGGCTGCAGGAGTGCAAACAGCAATTCCTAATTCGATGGGGCCAGAATACCCCTTCCTACCTTTTGACTGACCATGGGGTGATTGACCCAGGAGAGTGAGGAATTTGCTGATGGTAGGAATCCTTGCTGCAGATAGCAAGCTGTCTCCCCTCCAGCAGGGACTGAGCAGCAGCAATCCTCTTCTCCTTTCCTCCTAAGTGAGAACCCCACCTCAAAGACTGACAGCTGCAGTTTACAGCTAATTTCAGAGCTTAAACCAATGCAAGTTTTCCAGAGAGGATCTAAACTGTCATTCTCATGTCTTCCATTGATGCCCAATTCCTTAGACTTAAAATGGAGATTGATTAAGAAATAATGCATTAGGATGTGTCACATGCCAAAGGGCAGACTAAATGGAGCCAGGAAACTGCTTTGGATACAGCGTCATGCCATACAGCAGACGTGCTGAGGCAGCAGACTGAAAACAGGAGGAGAAAAACAAGAAAAATCACAGGAGAAAAAAAAAATCAGGATAAACATTTGCTTCTGTGAAAGAGGGTTCATCTGTTCTGCTGGATTAGTTCAGCTTGGGAGTGCAAATCTTTTATTCATGCTCACCTTACTTTAGCATGTAGCTAGACACCTTTTAGATCCAGTTAGACACTGAAGATTGGGCTCCACATGCACATTGAGTGCATGCCCACTGCTAATGGATAATTGCCATGGAGCCAAAGCTGCTCCAGAGGGAGGGCCCTGAAAGGAGTATAAGGGCTTGTGCTGGGCTCTCAGCACTGGCTGTTTTTTTCTCCAGAACTGCTCCTATCATGTTACACAATTTGCTAATGGAAATACATCCAGAGTCTGCCAATAGCAGCATCAGGCTCTGTAATGCGTGAGGGAGACCCCCTGGAGATACACTAAGAGTAATAATGTATAGCTTTTAAATGTTTAACAGTGAATATCCACTGTTATAATCCTGCAGTCCTGGAATAATCACAAGCATTTCAGCCCCAGAAGTTTGAGAGAGCATCCAGTCCTGAGACTTGTTTGTACTCCATACTATCCTCCCTCTTTCTAATTGCACTTGCCAACATCTTATTTGGGTTTTCAACTCTCTCCAGTGTAGTTCCCTGCTATAGAAGGGCTGTTCAAAGTGCCAGGGATCTGTGAATGCATGGCACTGAGCAGTGCTCGGGGTGACTCGGGGCTGGGGACTCCAGTGGCCTAGAAGGCATGTTCCCAGCTGGCCATTGCCAGTATGAATATCAGTTAGGGAGAGCTCGTTGACATTTAGTCTGTGCATTTGACAGCTGGGATGAGTGGCAGGCACACGTTAGGAAAGAGAGGGCTACTCTGAGGGTTTTGAGGTAAGTTTTGCTCAGGATAGCCGTGGGGTGCAGGTGTATCAGATGGTGACTTTGGCCATGGGAAAGAATTCAGCCCTTTGTTGCATCACAGCAGGCACTGAAATGTGAATACCCTGGCAGCCTGCTGTTCCTCACTGTCCTTGGGGGGAGCACTCAGAGCCATGCAGAAGGAAATGGGGCTGAAGTAACCCTACACCTATGGGAGGGGTGCCAAGCACCAGATGAGAACAGCCTTGAGTTGTACTGGCACTGCCTGACAGGGCTTTGGCACTGACCTGGTCCTGCTGAGTACAAGAAAGAATTGACTCTTATGGGGGAGCTTTTAAGTATCAACTAAAAAAATCTGTAAATTAAGAGATTATAAACTCTCCACAATTTTTCTGATACAAAAAGGAATTAAACCAGTCAGTAGTGTGTCCTGTCTGTGACTTTGCACCCATCCCCATCCCTGGGATGGACATTAAGAGATTCCAGTGAGATAACCACCCACTAAATATCCCTGTCTTAGAAGAGGATAAATGCTTCATCTGTATGACACAGCACAGAGCTTGCTGCAATGCACGTGGCTGGGAACAAGCCCATGTACACACACTCTCAAAATGTCCCTCAGGGTTTGGAACAATTTCCCCAATAACTGATGCTTCCCTGCACCTTCCACCTAAATCTTCCCTTTAGATCCATTTGTCCTGTCAGATTTTATGATTTAGTTTCAGTTCATGACTCTGTCACTTTGAATTGGGTCTAATCTGGTTTTTTCCTTCAACTCATTAATTAAATGAGCATTTGTCAGTTATGTGCAACCGCTGGGCGCGTTCTCTGCGCCACAGCCTTTCTGTGCGCCTGATCTGGTGCACGTGGGCCGCACCCACGCCATGGCTCACCTCTTTCATAACAACTGCACATCCTGAATGGGAAAGGCTGCTGTTCATGGCCTTAATTCCCTTCACTTACACCCTGCAATGCCTCCGATGCAGAGACAGTCTGTTGCACGGCAGGAATTAGAAGCAGAAACTGAGTGACCTTCCTGTCCAAGTTAGATTGGGCTGGGCAAGTGCCACCATGAGAGAGCAACCAAGGGCATCTGAGAAGCCACCAAAGGCAGAGCTGCTAAGAAGGAGGAGCAGGGAAATCAAAGCCAAACCACCCAACAATTAGGTAGAATAAATAGCTGAAACTTGTTCCCCTTTGTATTCAAGCTTCCCTGTATTTAGTTGATGCAGTGATGCATCCCAGTGGCATCCTTCCACACGTCATGGAGCGTGGGAGACTGCACAAGCAGCATGGAGTGGGGCGCTCTGCCTACAGGCACTTTTTCTGTTTTCCCCTCTCAGTCACATTAGTGCATTCAGGCAGACATTTTCCCATGCAAAATAGCCGAGTTAGTGGCACTGGTGAAGCCTTAAAGCCTACAAGACCATGGATGTGCTCCATGGCTCAAGGCTGTACCCCTGCAATCCCATAGGATACGCATTAAATATGTATCATTTTTATAAGCAGTCCCAGGAGACTCTCAGAGAGTCTGGCTGTGAGCTGGATAAAAACAAAGGCATCACAAAAGACTACCTGGATTTGTAGGGTAAGACAGGAATCCTGCATTCCCCTCTGTCTGTCCTGTTGGTGGGTCCACTCACTTTAATCAAGGGTTGACCCCTTAGTCAGAGCTGTTGGCATCACTCTGAGCACTCAGCCTGAAGCCTGTCCAGGACAGCTCGTCCACAGGACCTGCCAGGCTGCCTGAGGCTTTCCTAGGGAGTGGTTTGGGGATGCTGCCAGACAGCATCATGTTTGCTCCAGCACCCAAGGTCAAGAGCACTACAGGAGGCTGAACCTCTCCACCTTATGCAATTGATGTCCCTTTGAAGGCCCTTGAGTTTGTAGTACATTAGGCTGCCAGTGAACCTCTCTGGCTTTTTTGCCTTGAAATAATAGTAATAATAATAATGATGAGGATTATGAAAATGAAATCTTGGTTGCCACTGAATTTGTTGATAAGTATATTCCAGCATCCAATATCTGGACTGCTTTCTCTGTTATATAAGGATGATAATCTTAGTAAGATTGTTTATGTCTGAATATCTGGGGACAGCAACAAAACTCCCACTGAGCTACAAGATAATATAGACAAAAAATATAAATTCTACTTCATATATGAACTCAGACAGTGGACAAGTCAATTGCTGAAGAGCTGAAAAAGAGAATTTCATAGAACCTGTGAAAATGAGAAATCTGAATAATTAAACTGTAATGAATTTCTTCCAGTATTTCTGGGCTTTCAAAATCAGTTTTTAAAACAACTTATTAAAATATCTGAACCCAGAAGCCTATAGTACAGTCTATTTAAGATCCCTTACCATTACACAGCAATATTTTTAAAAATTGCAGGACTTAATTTGTTGAGTTTTTAATTAGTGTAACTGAACATGTACCTCTGTTTCATAACCTTAGCAAAATATTGTATTTTATATATAAAGATCTCCTGTGGTGTATATATTCTACATAAAATATATTTTTAAACACACAAAATATTTAAAAACTTGTGTACTATTCTTGGAAGGAATTCTGAGGTCTTGTGTTTCACTTAACTATTATGTTCAAGTATTTCACTTTTCTTTCTTCATTAGCAAAAAATATTCAAGTGCCCACCCAAAACCAGAAGAAAATAGCCCCTAGTGGACTAAATGTTTAATTTTATTTCCATTTAAAATACTTTTTCTAAGAAAGTACATAAATTCTGAGGGGAAATATTTGGCTCTCCCTTTAAGAGCAGGAGGAGCGTTACTAATTGTTTCATGGTTTCAACATGCCTTTAGCTTAGAAAATGTTATCCCTTTTAATGAGGAGATGAGCACTGACAGGAATGGCAAAACTCTTTCTGCCCCCCAAGGAAGTTGGATTTTCACCCCTTCTTTCTTGCTCAGCATTGTTCTGTGAGTCAGTGTTATAGCTGAAGCTGGTGCCCAGGAATTTCTGGCTCTTTGTCCAAAGTGGAGACCCCTACACCACATGGTCCTCCTCTGGATATTGTCTTCCTGAGCAGTGCGTGAAATCCCCAGCCAGGTAACACCCAGCTGAAGAATGCAGCCCTTCCTCATCTCCTGCTCCCTGTTCCAGGCAGGGTGGAAGCGCGTGAGAAAAAGGCTGTGAAGCGCCATCCCTAACACAGCCTGACACCTCTTCATCCTGCTATTGTGCTGGTTCCTCCAACATAGCATAGAAACACCCTCCAGAAACTCAGTTGCTTCCCTTTCTAAAAATAGGTGGTTGATTTTTAGCCTTCTGGAGCAGTCTTGGCAGACAGCACGATCTAAGGGATCCAGCAAGCAGCACAATAGCTGAACAGGGACTCTCCAGCCCACCCCTTGCTCTTGGATACAGTGTCCCAAGGGTGGTCCTGAGAAAGGTGTCCCTCTTCCAGGACTCTTTCCACATCTACCAGAGCCAAGCTCCCTGCCCACAGGAATAATAGGTGGTCATACCCCGTGGAAAGATGGAGTGCACTGCACTGGTCCTTGTGTTACTGTGAGCTGTTCCCCAGTTTTCCCAATGCAGCTCAGCACTTTAGGCAGTTGCCTTTGATTGACCTTCATGATTTCACACAGCAGTTGGTAGCTCCACCTGCAAAACACTATGAAATACCTGCTGTTGCAGCTATTGTCAGTGGCTTCCATTGGAATTTTCTTTCCTTTCCACCTAATAGTCAAAAATCTGTTTGTAAAGCTTCAAAATATAATTTGAGGCCATTTACCTGCTTTGGCCTAATGTGCACTGTAGAGTTATAAGGTGTAGATATGCAAAGTGTAATGTAAATGCAAATATAAAGTGCTTTAAAGCTGCAGGCTGGATCCTGAGGCTGGATAAGTGTCCACAAATTCAGAGTAGTGAGCTGTTTGCTGGCAGCAGGAGAGCTGACTCATTTCAGAAAGACTGTGACCGAACGGCTCCATCAGAGCAGGCCTCTCCTGTAGAGCTGCAGGTCTCCCTGCAGGACAAACTGGCTTCCATGATGTGCAGTTTGATGTCATTTGATTACCTGGGCTTATTTAAAATAGCTCAGGCTGGTACCAGCAAGAATCATTTCAGCCAACAATGCAATGCAAGTTAAGAGCATGTTCCTTAGGAGAAGATGGTCACGCTGTGCTTCTCGTCTGGAGACACCAGCAGCACATGGTGCTCGCATAAACAGACTGATCAGCTCTGGTCTCAGCAGGGAGATGAAGGAATGCCTGCAGCTGTGACAGACACCAGTACAGGGCTGCAGCTCATACTTGGGCTATTTTCTGTCTTCAGTGGATTGATCTTACAGTAGCTTGCATGAACAACAGGAAGCCCATAGGTAGGATGAGCAGGTTGCAGTGCTTCCACCTCCTGGCTCCCCTTGCTGCCACACATGGATCTGAAGTTCAATTTCCAGATTAAATTTTCATGTGCTCTACCTTGTTTCTATGAAGCTCCATCTATTTTTCCTTTTTACTTCATATCACCTTTTTTTCCCAAATTCAATCCAAAAAGCAGCAGGTGTGGCAGGGATGTAATCCTACTGATGAGAAAGTTGTGACTGGATAGGAAAGTAAGGACATGTGTGAAAAGGAAAAGTAGAGTCCCCTAAACACATGGAACATAAAGTTTTGTTTACAGTAGGTTTGGCCAAGACATTGGTTTGCATTGCATCAGCAGCAGCACCAAGCAAAGAGGTGGCCTTGTGTTTCCAAAATGGTGAAATTCATAACTTTGCCTTCCATGCAAAATTGACTCTTCCATAATATATGTGTCTCTGGTTCCCTCTGTGGTGGGCCTGACTTCATGTGGAAAAAGAGCCATTCAGGGGAGCTACTGGGCATGTGTGCTAGAAGGGAGCAGAGAAAGAAGATTTGTAATTTTAGTTGAGTTTTCTGGTGAACTCAACTAAAATTACAGAGGTCCTGCTATTTCTGCTTCCCTTTACTCTCACTGACTGGTTCCACCCAGGTGCATTGTTGCTTTCTGTCCATCCCCTATGCAAATCTTGATCCTGTCTTCTCTTCCCATGCAGCCAAATTGTGTTTAACATAATTACCTGGTAATGCAGCCTTTTCTCTTTTTCTTGAATAGGAAGATAGCTGAAAGAGGTAGGCAAGTAGCTAGAAGTGCCCAAAATACTTAATTAAATGCTTGGACTCAAACAAAAAGAAAGGCTTATCCTTTGATAAGGATATTTTTTTCTGAAGCATCACATTAACAGCACCACAGTACAGACTTTTAGTCTGTGCAATGAGTGCTTAGGATAAGATAATGTGGGTAAAGGCTGGGTATAGCCTTGCTATACATAAATTTATTTGTTCCTCCCAAATTTATTCACACTGATGGAGTCAAAACTCTGGTCTCAATGACAGAGAAAGAGCTGATTTTCTGTACGAAAAAGACCCTAAACCAGGCTGTAAGAAATTGAGTTGGCTTTTTCATAGATATCTACTCTAACCAGTTGCACAACAAAAATGGATTTCAAGCAGTATCTGCCATCTATTAAAGTTGCTATTTTGCTTGTGTAATGCTCACCCCATCTCGCTCAGCCTGTCTAAGATTAGGGTGATGACTCTGCATGTGGCAGCAAGGACAAACATCTTGCTTGTGACTTGGCAGGAGGACCTGGCAGCGCCGCAGCCGCCCGAGCAGCCCAGGCTGGAGGGAGAGGGGGCCCCGGCAAGCACTGCAGGAGAGGTGAGTGGTGCCACAGCCCCGCTGCCCGGGCTCTCTGTGCCACACCCGGCCTCTGTCTGGGTTCCTGGTTTCCCCCTGGCAGAACCTCCCCCTTGCCACTTGTGGTTTAGAACTGCCATGCAAGGAGCCCATCACTGTTCCCACTTTCCTGAGTTGTTGGACAAAAAACCGAGCTCATCTGTTCTCATTTTCGCCACTTCCTTAGCTTAGGAATTTTCCATGAGTGACAGATGGGCAGATTGCAAGCTGCTGCCTGATTTGGGTTGATTTTGGGGTGTAAATGCACATATTAAAGTTAATGCTGTCCTGTGGTTCTGTCATCACATGGAATAGCTTTTTCCTGTTTGCAGCCCTGCTTTAGAAGAGATTTAGATAACAATAGATTTTTCTGTATTTAAATTAGTTTATTTAATTTTTTAACTGTTCTACCTGCAATGTTCTTTTGAAGCCCTGGTCAAAAATTTGTCTCTGGGCCAATTTCAGCTCTTGAACAAGGATGACTTTTTGTCCAACATGGACAACAGGGGTAAACGCCTCTCATGTGGTATTACCTTTACAATTTCAGTGTTAAGGCCTTTGTCTGTCCCTTCCACAAGTACTGCATGCACCCAATGCCCACAGTTTTCAGCTTTTCTGAAGCTGGAATATTTATCTGTTTTCTTACTTGTCTTCTCTTACAGGGTGAAATTGAAGGTGATCCATCAAGTTAGGGAATTCTTGCTCAAAAGAGACCATTCCAAGAGCATACATGGAAGTATTAGCTGACACCACAACAGGAAAATCCCACTGTCCATAGACTAACTACATTCAGCTCTGTAGTCTTGCACTTGCCTCATAAACCAGTTGTACAATATATGTAAGGTAGACTCCTCTAATTGTAAGTGACGTGCAGGTGTGTATTGGGCTGTGTGTCTTTCCCATCCTCCCTCCTGGCCTTCCAGTTGCTTTGTATATTTTGGTTGGACTCACGAATCTGTGTCTTGCATCCATATGCACTGGCACTTGGGATCACTAGGCATTGTGAATTTTTTTTAACTAATAAAAAGTGTTTGAACACGTTTTTTGTCTTGTCAGTTTTGTTTGCACATTTTAGATGTGGATCCTTCCAGACTGATGCATTTTTTTTTCTGTAAAAATGCAGTATTAAAATACTCAAAACTGTAAGGGCCTTAAATCATGTTGTAAGAAATTAAGAATCATGAAAAATGGTATTTCTGAAAATAGTACTGTAGGTAGGCTGGCTTTCTGTCTCTCAGGCTCAAAAACAAATATTTCACTTTTTAAATACTTGCCATGTTTAAGAGAGAATGTAGGGGTGATATTGGATGAAAGGAGGCTTTTTAAAGGAATGTGAAAGTGATGTTCAGCTCAGTTTATTCTGTCTGCACCAGAAAGCTGTCCTGACATCAGGATGTAACAAGCTGCCAGAAGGTAATTAAAGAAATGTGCTGGGCACCAAGTGACCTGGTCAGAACTGCACTGCTGCTGGCAGGGACGGGCAGGGTTGCTGTGAAATGTGTGAGTGCCAGGGCAGGTGCCAAAGGAGAATCTCCTGGTGACCACGAACACGGAGCTGGTATCGGTTACAGCACTCGGTCAGGCTGCAGATCAGCTGCTGAGTGAGGGCAGCAGAGACCCTCCACATTCACCAGGGTAGAGAGCAGGAAAATGTTGCTGTGGATAATGGGCTAAGTTTAAAGCACATCAGAAGGTATGGATATAAAAATGGGTTCTTTTATTTACCTACAGGAAGAGCACCCACGAATCCAGGAGAAGCCAGTGTAAACTGTTGAGATTTAAATTGCTTCAAAATCAGACCAATAACCTTCATTAAGCTGCTATATGATGATGACTATGGAAGGTATTACAGAAGACACTTGCTGTGGCATGGAAGCATCTAGCAAGTGTGCTGGCAGCCTCTCTCAGGCATAGCAGTATGTGTAAAGCATTGCCTTGCAGAGACAACAGGATATTCATCCCAGTGGGTCTTTGATCTCAATATAGAAAGGGAAAAAAAGAGCCCTAGCAGAGGTAAAAGGACCTTCAAAGGAAGATGTATCTGATATGTGCATACTCTCTTCTGATGTCCTACAAGTATCTGCCAATTAAACAGAGTAACTAAAATTGAGGCCAAGGTAAGAGGACATAAAGAGATACTCATTCCCAGCAGCAGGAGGCTGGAGTCTATTCTCAGTGCTCGCTAGAGAGAGACAGAAAAACCTTTTGCTCAAAAGCTTCACTTAATGGGGATACAAACAAAATTGTGTTTCAAAAAAAGTGTTTTGCAAAAATTCGGAGGTGAATGCCTTCACTACGTAGGGCATGCATGGGAGGCAGGAGCAGGCTCAAAGGATCAGTAAGCTGCTCCCCAAATGCCCATCTCTCAAGCAGAGTTCCCCCCTGGTTCCAAGGGCTTAAACCAGGAGAGAATGGTAATTACTGAGCTAAGAATGCTGTGCCACATCTCTGCCACACTGGGCTACGTGGTTGCTTGGGAGAGCAGCATGCAGCTCTCTGTGTTTCCTTCCCCGTAGAAGGGAAAGTGTTTTACCAGTATTTACACAGCTGTATCTGGAACTGTGGGACTGAAAACACTGCTTGACTACTGGCCAACATTTGGGCACTAGAAGTGTCCAAATGTTTCCTACAGATGTGCCTCTGCACTTGCCTGCTTCTCACGTGGGACAGCACTGCTCAGGGCTCAAGGCAGTCCCAAGTCTTGGAGACAGACTCCAGGGCATGCAGTTTCCTGCCACATGAGTGCCCTGTGTCAGTGAGTGGGAACAGGGCAGTGCTGTGCCCATGCAATGGCTCAGTGAGCCTCTATTTCCTCCCTGTCCCTTCCCCAGACTGGCTGTCACCCAGCTGTGGGGAGCAGAAGCCAGAGGTCTGAGCCACATTTGTCAGAGGTAAGAAAGGTGAGGACTTGTTTCTTTTGAAGTAGAAGGGTCTTTGATTAAAGAGACAAAATATTTTCTATTAATTATTCAACCAAACTTTGTTGTACATCTGTTTAGTTCATTGAAAGGAAGTCTGTGCTTTCAATGAGAATTCAGACAAGTGTACTGAGAGGTGATGGAAGTGAAAAGTGGAATGATGGAGGAGGTGTGTCAGAAACATCCCACAGGAGAAGGTACTTTCACTATGGAAGTGCTGGCACCCCCTGCCCCAGGTAAGTGCTGAGGGAAGCAAACACCAGCAAAACTATTTTTTGCTGACAGGTCTTGTGCAATCAAGAATTTCTTTTACTCATCTCACCCTGTGAATTATTGAAGTGGACTTTGTACATGTGATACCACTGTCACACGAGCTGTTAACTTAATCCCACTGTGATGAAACAGCACCCAGTGCCAGGCACAGTGTGGCTGGCCACTGTCTGTCCCCAGTGAGCCCTGTGGGCACTTGCACTCTGACCTCTGAGGGGATCCAACCAGCCAGGAACAGCTGCTACCAAGTGTTGCATCAACCTCACCGTACCAGTGACCAACAAAGTGCTGAAAACTATTTTTTCCCCTTGTAACAGCAAAACTTCCTTTCCATGTAAAACTGCAGTTGAGCTTTATTGAGTGATTTGTTCTGATAGAGCTCACAGCCTTTGTGAGCTCCCCCCAGTTACGTCCTAGCCAAGGGCTGAAGGGCATGCAGGGCCTGATTTTTCAAAGATGTTTGTTTGGGATGAAGGAGAGGAAGCAGTGGCTCTCTACAGAATATCCCAAACAGCATTCCGCTAATTTAAATGCAAATCGGGTAATAATACACTTAAAATCCCACTTCATTTGAAAGTCCTATTTTTGTGTCTGCATAATGCATGTCCTAAAACTGAATTCACAGAGTACCCAATTAAAAACTGAAGGGCTGTTTTTATAATACTGTTCTCTACAAAATCACATTCTCACCTCTTTGACACATTGAAACTCCCTGTTTCATAAATTCACTGTTTCATAAATGCACTGAAACCCTACCAAATCACAAGAAGATACTCCATACTGTTAATAGCAGAGCAGAAAAAGCTCAAATCAAAACTGCACTTTCTGAATATCAGACAAACCCTTGCCCACACGAGTTTGAAACAGCACAGACTTTCTCTGTCAAGCTTTGGCACTGCTTTTTTGTGAGGATCCCAGCATGCAAGGCAGCTCTGCTTCTCCACCCTTCCCCTTCCACTAAGCCCATGTGGGTGGGCAGCACAACTGTGTGCCACACAGGCAGAGCCACAGCATTCCTTCCTCTCAGCGTGCCTAGAAAATATACACAGCTCTTCTGTAGACTATACATCCCAGCTCACAACCTCTCCTTTCCCAGGCAGTCACTCCTGGGATAGGACCAGTTATTTATTTCCCCAGTCCCATGCCAGATTTTAAGGTGGGAGTCAAGCCTTTCTCATCTTCCTAGCCTGAGTTAAAGACCAGACAATTTTTTTGTTGTCTTTTCTCATCCTGAATCTGCAGGATATTGTGAGACTCCATAGCAGTCCCAGTATTTAAGGATGGTTTTAGGTGTTCCAGATGATAGTAGAAACATGACACTTCACCTGGATGTTACCTCAACATTGAAAAAGTAGAAGGTAAAGGACTCCATTTGCATTGGCCTTATGTTGATCTCATGCTTTGAAGCAGAGCTGATGGATAATTCCTGGAGGATGTTACCTCCTCTGTAAAGGAAGAATCAGTTAAACCTACTTTTCTCCCGGTACTGTATGTCAATATTTGAACCAAACAGCTAATTTAGCTTAATTAGGAAAACTTTAGTTTCTTATTCACCTGCTGTGAATATATAATTAAAAGTCTAATTGACCCATTGAGGGGAAAAAAGGATTGCTGTTTGAAATAACAAGATCAACTTTAGTTTGATCTCCTAAATTACTGACATATGACTTACAATAATTATCTATGAGCAAACCATTTCATTTCTTAAAACAGTTCTGTTTCTTGACATAAACATCACATCCCTCCCTGACTAATATCAGTCTCCTCTAGCAGCCATGAATGTTGAACACTGCACACTTTGTAAACTTCTGGAGTGATCTGTGTAGAACTTTTTAGCCCTGACACATCATTGCATTTGCCTTGCTAATGAACACCATACCTATCTATAAATCCCAACCCTGGTAAAATTAAAATTTAAGAAAACCCGTATAAATTTCAACACTTTTTAATTAACCTCACTTGCCCATTTTCATGTGTAAAACATAAGCTGTAGCTCTGATTAATTACTTCTGACCTTCATCGGGTAATAGAGCAGAAGGGTTCATGTCACTGATATATGAGAGGGTGCTCAAAGCTGCCACTGAAGATGTGTGAAAGGAAAGGAAACCAGAACGATTTCTAATTTCCCTGTGGTGCTTTAGATCTAACTCACAGCTGTTTGGGCTGTGTATTTGTAGTTGCCAACTATTTCCAGGGCCATGGATTATGAAGAACTCCTAGCACTTAAGGAATCAGTTTTGGGTTTCTTTTCCCCAAACACAAATAACTGCTCATCACAAGGAACAGGCTGTGAAGGTGCAGAATGTGGAGAAAAAGCCCAAGGACTCAGACACAGAGAAGGGAGTCAGACATGTTACGTGTCAGAGGTGAGCAGACAGTGCTGCTGGGGCTGCTGACACTTTTAGACTTCAGGTCCTGGCCAGTGTCAGGGTGCACCCTGGCATTACCAGGTGGAGTAACTTTTGGAATAGGCTGAAATTCCGGGGGCACCTTGGAGTGTGGCTCCTCCTGCGCTGTGGTACCTGCCCCAGCTGGCATTAACCAGGATTTCTACCTGCAGTCTCAGCAGACCCTGAGAGCTGAAAGGAGCAAAAGTCCAAACTTCCCACCCTTTCAAATCCTCATTTTTAAGCACTCTAATTAATATCTAACATCAGTTCAAAAGGCTTACTATTTTCTTCTAAAAAGTAATGTTAACTCACAGAGTGGATAAATATTATGCAATATATTCCATTAATTTTCTGCTGTGATTTTGTAACTCAGCCTGCTACCTGATGCACAGATTATTGGTACCATCATATGGAATGAATACTATGCAAATGTCCCTCTTCCTTCTGCTCTGGGCTGCAC